CGCCCCGGCCGGTCGGCGGTCGAGGGTGCCGCCATCTCCGTCCTCGGCGCCGTCCCCATCGTCCCTGGTGGCGCGGAGAGGCGCCTTCAGGAACCCCGGAGAACCCCCGCTGCACTCCTGGGGAGGGGAGGACAGAGAAACTGGTCCCGTTTCCCTCCTCTGGTGGCCCCGACCTAGACCCGCGGCTGCCTGGTAGCCCTGGCTCCGGCCTGCCTCTGCCTCCAACAGCAGGGCGGCCACTGCCACCTCGGGGGTGCGTCACCCGGAGTCCTGGGGTGCGGGCTGTGAAAGCTAGCCAGGTCCCGGGGAGAAAACAGGGTGGGGAAAGAGGCCATTACTGCTTCCTTGCGTCAGCTCACGAGTCCGGTGCCTATGGGGGGTTTCTGTCAGAGCAGAAGAGTGGTGCCTGCAGCCAGGCCATGCACCGCCAGCTTCAGCCTCCGAGGCCATGCAGCATGTTTGTGAGGTTTTCTGGCATCAGAAAACCATGAGACATCATCTCTCTGCCTTTCTGACTGGCTCACCAGATTTCAGCTGCTGCTTTTGCTCCTACAGAGCCTCGCATCCTGTGGTCTTTGCATCAACACCAGTGGCTTTTGTCCAATACTGGTAGATGTTTGGCATCTGATTTATCTTAATGAATAAGAGAAACGTTATGAAGTAATGATGTACAAATGGTGGTAGAGTCAGACGGTGCCACAGTCCAGTCTATGGCAGTGGCAAGTCCCCAGGGAGGTCATCAGTAATGAGCAGAGTAAGGAGTAAAGACAAGAACATGAGAAGTATATAGCACTACAGCTTCAGAATAATCTCTCTCCTGCAAGGTGTCCCCAGATTAAGACACCCCCCCCCACCCCCCCAAGGGAAATTTTCCAGGTCTGGAAGTAAGTACGGACCTGTCAATCAGATCAAGGATTATTCAGTCCTGAACTGCAATTGATGAATTTTGCAATGGGTGAGTTGGGATGTCTTGGACTACTTCTGCTAGGCTTGGTGGCAGAGGCGCAGCAAACTCCAAAGTAGGGGCACATGCCATGGATATACCAACAGACTCCTCTGGAGCTACTGAAACTAGGCAGAATGAGCAAAAACGCCTGCCATGTAAGCAGAATACACAGGGTCATTGCCAATCTTCAGATGCTGCTGCACTGTCGTTTCTCAAACAGCTGTCCACAACACGAAAGAAATACATCATTTCATGCAAAATAATGAAAGCAGATGGCGTTGGCCAAGGAAACACCGAAATGTGTTATTCTTCTTCAAATCTTTTAGGCACTATTACCTGGGAGGAAACTGTTGGAGCCATTTGCAGCAGAAATACCTTGTGGGTTTTCAAACCTATTCCGAAAACCTTTAAGGCAACAGCCAGGTCGCCCTACTCTGGGACAAGACTGATCCTTGCAAAAGAGAGATGAGGTTACTGAAGGAGTGAGGATGTCTGTTCTGGGGACATGTGGATAAGCTACGCAACCTCACAGAATCCTGGACCCTTGTACCCAGTGGCCAAAGCCAACTGAGGCAATGACTTGAAGCAAGAGTCAAGAACCTGAGGTCACGTCAGGCCAAAATTAATAACCAAAGACCTCATGAGGACAAGGACAATACTCAATTTAACTAGAGCCAGGGTGAAAAGCAGAATGTCAGGATAACCCAGAAAGGCATCAAGTGCTATCTAGCAAGCAGAGTCCAGACAAGAGCAGGACTGGAGCAGGACAGGCGCTGGGAAGTGCAGAAGACTGGGGCACAGCAGGAGCTCCTGGTACAAAGACAAGATTTCGGACAGAACCAGAGCAGACCAAAACACTGAACAGACGAGACATGAGGAGAAAGAAACGTTCCCTGAAGTCCTGTCTGAGACTCACATCATCAACCAGCTCACAAGCTCTAACCTAGCTGTAGCTGCCTAAAGGGCTGGGAGCCGAGCCAAGCCATAGCAAGAATTCGTCTGACATCCAGGAAAAGTCATTCACAATCTAGGACGCTTTGCATACATTTCTTTCTAGGTAACTTTTAATGCCAATAAATGAAGGCCAGCATCAGCCAGCCAAAAAACCTCCAGCGGATACCTGCCAATGCGCAGTGTCACGATACGCTGCCTTTGTAGCAACACCCGTTCTTGCTATTCCATCCATTTCTTCCCATTCCTACCACTCTGCCCTACTGACAACACTAACACAGCAGCAGTTTGCTGTCTTTGAGCCTGAGAGCTGATCAGATAGAGAAAATATTTTTAGATGCTGGACCAGGTCCCTGATTTGATTCACAACGTAACCGCACAAACATCTGTATTACTGCAACTGAGGAAGTAGCACAGGGGTAAGTAGATTGCTACGGGCAGGGCAGGAAGATTATAAACCGGTATTGTTATCAGAGCCAACATATATCAGATCATAAGTGGAGAGTGCAGGAAAAAATAACTTTTATCACTCTTTTATTTGTCAATGAAAATAGTAGTAACATAGAGAAAAGGAAACAAGTGGAGGCTTATATCCATGCCTGACCTTTTTGCCAACTTCCACACACAAATTGCCACAATGTCTTACTAGAAAACTAGATTTACCTATGCTGGAATAAAAAAAATAGGTCATGTTAGAGAGAAAAAGAAGTTCAGGTCTTTGAGAATCTATTGGCAATAGCCTTCTGGCCAGGAGATGCATACGCTTCCCCAGTGATTCTTCTTCCACACGCTCTGCTTGGATAAAGACTTTTCCACTTAAAACTCAGGGCTCATCACATGTTTTTTCAGGAGAACATGCAACTTCGGGTGAAGTGCTTTAGAACTAGGAAGTAAAACGTTTTCATTCACCTTACTTTCTCATGTCTTAAGAAAATACAGGATTGGTATTGAATTCTGCACTGGACACACACTCCGATCGATATGTTCCAAGATATGGAATG